GTTTGCCTTGGGAGACCCTACCAGGGACATATAGCCCCCGACAACATAGCTCCTAGGATCACTCGGGTACTCAAACCCCTCCACCACAATAAGATGCTGTGATCAGTGGTGTCAAAAGCAGCACTGAGATCTAAGAGGACAAGTATGGAGACAAGTCCTTTATCTGAGGCTAGGAGAAGATCATTGGTGACTTTCACCAATGCGGTTTCTGTACTATGATGGACTCTAAATCCTGACTGAAAATCCTCAAACAAATCATTCTTGTGCAAGTGGTCACATAACTGCTTTGCAACAGCTTTTTCAAGGATTTTGGAAATAAATGGGAGATTGGATATTGGTCTATAATTAGCTAGGACACCTAGAGTAGGCTTTTTGAGTAGAGGTTTAATTACTGCAACTTTAAAAGCCTGTGGAACATAACCTGTTAATAGAGAGAGGTTAATTAGATCTAGTATGGATGTGTTGATTAGGGGAAAGACATCTTTGAGCAGCCTGGTCGGGATGGGGTCCAGGAGACATGTTGATGATTTAGATGAAGCAATTGTTGAGGTCAACTCAGAGAGATCTATAGGAGAGAAGTAGTCCAAGTATAAATGAGGTCTTACAGATGTTTCTAAAGCCATTGTAGTAGATGGCACATCTGCGAGAGCTGTGGGAGGATCTCCTCAACCCTGACGCCATGTCTTCCAATGAGGAAGCAGAGGCCGGGGGCTCAGAGGTGGACTTGTCCATCACCCAAGCTGAAGACACCGAGGTAGTTAAGAAGCTTCTCGGTGGCAAGGCACTGGGGGTGGATGAGATCCGCCCCAAGTACCTTAAGTCTCTGGATGTTGTGGGGCTGTCTTGGCTGACAGGCCTGTGCAACGTCACATGGCAGTCAGCAACAGTGCCTCTGGACTGGCAGACCGGGGTGGTGGTCCCTCTTTTCAAGAAGGGGGACCGGATGGTGTGTTCCAACTATAGGGGGAATCACACTCCTCAGCCTCCCTGGGAAAGTCTATGCCAGGGTACTGGAGAGGAGAATTCGACCAATAGTCGAACCTCGGATTCAGGAGGAACAATGCGGTTTTTGTCCTGGCCGCAGAACACTGGACTAGCTCTATACCCTCTTCAGGGTGGCGGAGGGTTCATGGGAATTTGCCCAACCAGTCCACATGTGTTTCATGGATCTGGAGAAGGCATTCGACCGTGTCCCTCGCAGTGCCCTGTCGGGGTTGCTACAGGAGTACGGGGCCCTTTGCTAAGGGCTTTGATATTTAAAAAACACAAAAAGCTTTGACAGGCTCATTATAGACATGGATGGATTACTTGTCGGGCCTACAAGGCATAGCCTGTTTTTCCTTTTACATGTCTGCGTTCAGAGGTCCAGTGTCTCATAAAACTGTCCATGATTACAGGCATCCAATATTAAGCTCTGATAGAAATAACCAACTGACAGGCGGCTGATGTGTTTAAGGGTCAGGATAACACCAGGCCTAATAGATATGATGTTGGGGAAAATACTAACATTAATCACTTTAGCCAAGAAAATTTCTGTCTTGTTTGATTAGAAAGAGAGAACAGACTGGGAAGAGATATACTATATGCAACTGCCCAGCACAGCTTCGCTCAGCAGTTAAGTTAAAAAAGGTCATGCTCACAATTTCAAACCGAATCTGAGAACATGCCTCACCTTGAGGCAACTGGTTCCTGAAAACCCTGAACATAATGAGTGTTAGTGGGCAGGAGTTATGCAAAGAGCTGCCAGAGGGTCAAATGAATGAAAAATGTTCCTTAGCTCATCAAAGTGGCACTACTAATGTTCATTTCAGTTACATCTCCTATTTTTAGTCATTAAACTTAGGTTATACAGTAACTGCAGGAAAACTCACAGCAGGGAGGAGGTGGCAAAATACATAGAAAACAGTGACAATGGATGAAAACAGTAAAGTTGCAGCTGAACAACTAAACAATTTGCCAATGCTTTGTAAAGCTGAAGGGAGCTGCAGATTCAGGTGATCATTCTCTGTGAGTTCATGACTATGAATGATGGCACAGTTCTCAGTCAACAATAGCCAACAAACAATTTCCCTTGTAAACAATGGCTGCTTGAAAGAGAGAAGAGACTAATCTGGTTCTTGATTGTGATTCCTTCATCACCAGAAAAAAAATAGGGACACACTGTTACCTCCAAACAGATAATCTTCTGCAGGTGCTATCATTCTCCATTAAACACATAGTGAAAGACATAAACAGGTACTTTTCAGGGAAACCGAGCCAATTATAACTCCCATTTCCAGTAAGGAAAATGCACAAGACAGCAGGTTCTCCCCTCACATGCAGAGAGACAGATACACACCAAGAGCCCAGTGGGGTGTGTGCAGTGCATTTGTAAAGGATGATCTCACCAAATCCTTCCATTGGTTGAAGACAAGGCTCCAACTAACCTTTTTTATTGATTATTCTGTTAATTGATTTTCAAATTTCTTAATTCATTATGTAATAATTCACCATTTAATTTAAATATGTCAGAGCTGAACAGTTAATTAACAGTTCATTTAGAAAATTATACCTATTTTGACTATTGTGATAAGAAAAACACCTAAAAACCTTTATGGTTCCAGCATTTTTATAGACTAAAATGTTAATTTAAAAAACTCAGCAAAATCAGTAACAGAAAAATCATGATTTGTTTTTTATGTTTTGTTTTTCTTAAGGCTAGCTAATGCTAAAATAACCTATTATCAATTATCAGTCAACTGATTAGCTTTCTTTATTAAAATCTAAAACAAAAAAAAAGGATATATCAAGCAACCATGCCCAATATTTGCAGGTTTTCACTGATCAAAAATATGATTTTGCTTCTTTTCTCTGCTCTTATAAAAAGTTTGAGTTTTGGACTGTTGGTTGGACAAAACTACTATCTGAAAACGTAATCTTAATCTGAAAAATGATCGTCGGATCTAGTTGTAAAAAAAAAAAAAAAAAAAATCCTTAGTTAAAGCCCATATTGCCCAGTACTGTCAAACTATCTTAAACTCAAACACCAGCTTTCACCCACAGAGATGTACAGTAAACCAAGCCACAACATCTATATCTGTTACTAAAACCACAGGCCTCAAGTCAGTGGGGAGGATCCAACAGGGAGCGGCTATAACACTCAGCTGACCACATGTTTGCACCTCATGAGAACCTCAGCTACGATAAGCCACAACTATCTAATAATTACAGTGAGAGGCTACATATAATAAAGTATAAATGTATGAAAAAGTGCAGCCACAGAATGGAACAAAAATCTGAAGCCCGAGTCTAAATTTATGGTGGAACTGCAAAAACACACAAGCCTAAACCTGTATGTGAGAAAGTGAAACATTACACAAACTTAAAAAAGGACACCAAAAATACATAGGAGAGAGCGATTAGTGTCTAGGGCAGTGGAATTTACTTCTGAGTCTGGCAACAGGGACCAGCCCCAGCCAGCATCCCTGGCTGGCTGCAATATTACCCAAATGATTTACACCAACCGAGCTAGACAGCGAAAGGAATTTTCAGCACTGGAGCACAACTCTGTCCTGACAGCCAGCTAATCTAGAAAGGAAAGATAAATCTTAGGAGGGGAACTGAATAGATGATAGTGGCAAGAAAAGAGTGAGAAAAAGGAGAAAGAGGAGCAAAAACAAGAGTAGTAGTTACTCATTAATCTAAGAGGTGAGAGAAAAAAAGAAGACAAAGGCCATTTTTTGCTTGATCTTGTTCTGTGACTGGTCACATCACTGATTTCCAGATGAAAACAGCACAGAGTCTTGTATTTTTTTTAACAATTTGCATGAACACATTATTGTTGTGCACACTTGAAATGCTAATTTATGAAAATTAGCAGTTAAAACTAATCTATGCCTAAAATGAACTCCACAAATTAAGATATGCAGCCTCCAAGGAGACATATTCAGCATCTACTGAAACAAAAATAAACCTGAAATGCTAATTCAAAAGGGCAGATGAACACTATCTGCAATACCTTAGTCAGACACTGTCATTTAACTTGCACTGCATGGGTAATAATGTATCAGCAAGCCTCGAATGATGAAAAGACTAATTAAGCCAACATTTAGTTACACTGAGGTGATTTGCATGTCTAAAAAAAAAAAAAAAAACTGCAAACAGTTTAGAGGGAAGGAAAATGCAGGACAAGATAAAGAGGTGACGCTAGGCCTTCAGGCAAGTCTGTCAGAGCATGTGACAGTTGCATTACTGTAAGTTGTAAAGCAATCCCTGGGGTTCAGAGTGAGGTAAAAAGAAGAGGACACATTGAGGACGCCTGGAAGGCAATGAAATTGAACATGAGAACTAAATGTGTGCAGAGACACGGTGGAGGGGAGGGGTGAACTGCTGATAATGCTGGCATAAGTACACATCTACTCTGGGAGTGACAAGAAAACATTGCAGGGCACTTAAGTAGTTAAAATGCCAAGGTTTGTGGGCTCATGAAGGAATTATTTCAGTGACAAGTCTCAGAGTTGCCTTCAAACTGTAGCAACTGCTGCTGACCTTGAAGTTATACATTATTCTTGTTATAGTTAAACCAAGAAATTCTACCCTTTTCATAAGGTAAGCCAACAGAGAACATGAGCTTGAGACAGGACATAACACTATTAGCACCTACCTTTGAGCTGGTCAGCCACCACACTCTGTCCTATTCTCTCATTGACCTGTCCGTCTTCGTGCTGGTACCGGTCATCCAGGAAGTTGGCAGTAGCCTGTGATAAATGGACCTTCCCAGCCACTCCCAGTTGCTCCATTAGATTGGCCAGGTTGACGTCATTTGACCAAACATCAAACTTGAAGCGCTTCATGCCCAGGATACCACATAGCACAGTGCCAGTGTGGACACCCACCCTCATGTTCACCATTTCTCTCTTCTCCCGGCAGAACTGTTCAATAGCTTGAATCATGCCCAGGCCCATCTCCACGCAGCAATAGGCATGGTCTGGTCTTGGTTCTGGACAACCAGCCACGCAGTAGTAACAGTCTCCTAGAGTGCTAATTTTTTCGCAGCCAGTGAGCTCACAAAGTCTATCAAAACGCCCAAACAAGTCATTCAGAAGCCCCACGAGGGCATGAGCGGATTTGTTGGCGGACATTTTAGTGAAGCCTACAATGTCTGCAAAGAGGATGCTGACGGGCTCCATCCGCTTCATATTAAAGGGTCTGAAGATGATCTGGCCTCGAGGAATTGAGGTTTTCTTGCGTTTATTGCTTTTAGGGCTGGAGATGGCAGCTACTGCACCACTTGTAGAGTATCGTTTACCAGAGCTGTCACCAATCTCCTCATCACCCTGCTTCATCAGTTCATCAGCCACGATTCTGGGCATGACAGAGTGTATCATGCGCTCTTTCAGGGCTTTCTCCACCTCCAGATCTTTGCCATGCATGATAGCTTGTCCCACCTTAAGGAAGGTGCTGCGTGACCGTACCTCAGACATGATGAACAGGTGAATGCCAATGGCGTGGGCACAGAGGTGAAGCAAAGCTTTGGCTGGGCCCAGCCAACTTAGCATATCCCAGTCTGGTTGAGACACTATGCTCCAGTTCTCTCCTGCCTGTGTCAGGTGCAGCCAGCCCAAACTCTCAAAAAAGACAGAGTAGAGGAACCCAAGCAGGACAGAAGCATAGAGGCGAATATGGAGGACACTGTACAGCAGCAGAAGAACCTCAATACAAAGAGAGAAGGTGCCTACAGGAGAAAGACAGGGGGACCAGGTGCCACCTCCCACAAGCTTGTCATAGGACAGGTTATATGTAGGCCCCATGCCACTGAACTCCTCAACATCAAGTGTAGGTGTGGGAGTCTCTGAGTCCTTGAAGCCTGATGTCAGGATCTGAGGGGCTAGGGTGAGGATGAAGGTTACAACAATGAGCAATAGCGATGCTTGGTTGTAGCAGCATGAGTAGAGCTTAGTAAAAGTTAAGAGGAAGAGGAGGAGGCAGAAAAGGAGGAAGGATGCAGTGGGAAGGAGAAAAGCAATCCTATCACAGCGGGAAGGGTTGGCAGCAAAGTAAAATCCCCAGAGGAGGCCAGCAGCAACCAGGTAGAACAGCACATAGCGGAAGCGCCGCTGGGTTTGGGGGAAACATCGTTCTCTACAGGCCTCCTCCAGGATTGAAGAGTCAAACTTAGGGTCCCAGAAATGACCTGCAGATCTTTCAAAAAGCTGAGGCATCTTCTTATGTGTGCGAAAGCGCTTGACCACTGGCCTCCTGATTCCAGATTCCCCGGAGCTGCAGCTAGAGGAAATGCTGTACTTGCAGTGTTTGGATCCCCCCATGAAGCCTCCCCCGATTGAACCCAGGGCCCCGCCTGCATGCTTGTGTTTGACACTGCTGCCAATCCTCACAGAGACGCCTCCATCTCCACTTGAGTCACAGCTCACTTCTGTGTTGTGAGGCAGCAGTTGTTGATGTTGGGGGGATGCCATGTCACTTTTTGATCTAACCAAAAGCAAAAAACTATACAGAAGGAACCGGATTAAAAACACACACACACACACACAAAGTAGATTTTGAAAAAAGAAAGACAAAATATGGGGTGACAGTAAAAGCTACTGAAGTTATGGTTCAATTTGTAAAAAGGATAAAGCACACAAAAAACATTTCAGAAAAAAATCCACTCAATTAGTAGTGAAGGGGCTGAGGAAACATCAGCAGACCTTCGGAACATTTTGAGTAGGTCATTGTCGGCCTCTTGACGTCAGTCCCTGCATTCCTCTGTGTTCCCGTTTGTTTGGACACACTTGAGACAGCAATGCTCGCTCGCCACCTGCTATGTTCCAGTCCAAGTCCACTCAGTTGCCTGCACACTGTTTCACTCATTGGAAAAATATCTGGAAAAATTACATGTGTGAATTTAATGTGTGAAAGGGGAAAAGTTGAAAAAGAAAACCCAAAGAAGTCAATACGTGGTTTTAGTGGAGTTCTTGAGACATTTTGATCACCAAAAGTATGAATAAGTAAATTCAATAACACAGAATGTTTTCTTCTTCAGTTTTCTCTTAAGGATTCCACGTTTTGTTTACAAAGCTGAATCAAGCTTTGTCCACCACAAACCGTTAGCAGTTTTTCTGATCTCTGGAAAACAAGTGATGGCAGTGTTGATTGGAAAAGGCCCACTTTTCACTTTAAGGTGCAGGTCAACTTCAAATAACAACGTTAGCGCAAAAACCTACACCAAAGATTTCATTTATACCTACATGCTCCTTTCTACATGGCCTAATCGCTCTTCCCATGGACGCGGCCCCGTGTTTTCCTGACATTCCACTCCGAAGTCTCCACCGCCGCTGCGTCTCCAAACGCAGATGGAATATTTGTGCACGGAGGTGTGCAGGAGGTAAATGCATGAGCCGCGGTGCGCAGAAGAGTCAGATAAACTGGTTTTATTACAGGGGATTTATTGTCAATGAGTTGTGCGTAAACATACTCCTCCAAGGCAATGCACCAATTAGTCTTGGTTCAGTATTGCTTTGGTATCCAGACACACCAGCTGTCGCCAACTCACCGTTACAAAGCGCCAAGACGATTTTCGGACTCACCATATATTCCGCACATGCCGGACCAGTTCGTGGCTGAATATTTTGTGTCAACCGGGCAACCCTGGGCGACTACGTGAAGTACTGTCCAGTCCCTCCTATTCTCTGAAATAAAGTTTGCCCACGGCAGCTCGGTGCCTCTCTAAATGGCAGACGACGAACGCCTCGGGAAAGTGGGAGTAATTAAAATGATTCCACCTCGCTTGGACGCCCCCTAATCCACAGTGCCACAGGTCACCGCAGAGTGCTGCCTTAATCCAGCCACTTTAATTGAATTGCATTGGATGTACTAAAGTATATCTTCATACCGCCAAATATCTCCGCTTTAATCCAAGACAAATATGAAGGATTAGGGCTGCTGCACCCTCCAACGCCAGTTCCATGCACTGTCCATAGTAAGATGAGACTGTCTTATATCTCCTTTATCTGACCATTATCCGTGCGCCGCAGCACAATCAACACATGCACCAAACATTGTGCACTATCCAGGTGCGGAGGGAAACGCAGCCACCACCATCCCCTGTGCACTGACAGCCGTCCTGCTGCGAGCAAGTGTGAAGCACCTAAGTAGTAAAAACATTATTTCCGCCCTTTTCTTTCAAAAGAAAACTCCAATCGACATAGAACAACCTGTAATTGCACAATTGCCTATATCCATAAGGTACCACACATGGACGCACCCTTAAAGCCAACTATAGCATCCACGGTCATTTATGTTAATATTTCAGTCTGCCTTGCCCAAAATGAGCTGTATGTGCCACAAAATCCAAATATTCCACCTGCTGCCGAGTTAACGCACAGCTCCAGTGACTTGAATGATGCAAAACATCATTAAAAAGTCTAAAAACAAATTCTTAAAAATTATAATAATAAAAATAATAGCCTAACAATCTTGGGTCAACTTAATTAAAATGCAGACTGTGAGATGCATCAACTGGATAGGCTACTTGTGTAGTTTAGTTTCCCTGTTTAGTGAAAGTTCGGCTCTTAAATGCTCCAGAATGTGAGCCTATAAAACTGATTAAACATCATTTATTTTGAAAACAAAACGCCGTGCTTCCGCTTTGGTGGTCACCCTTGACTTGATGCTGCTATCAGTGTTTGGTGAACATAGGAAAGACGAGCAAGGGCAGACTTGACGGGAGGGAATGCAAAATGTAGGGGCACTAGAGGTACGTGCACGCCGTTGGGAGACAGAAATGGGCTGAAGGGTAGCGAGCACGTATTTTTGACAAGGGTGGTGACGCCCTTCTTCACTCCACTTTTGTATTTTTGACCACTACACTCCATGCTTAGCACAAAGCCTGTTTTACCTACTAAGAATATTAACATCTGGTCTGGGGTGAGCAGAATATAATTACAGAGAAAGCCACTGGAGACACAATACCTATAAATATGTTGAAGGGTACTAAACTGCTCTAGATGCTCGCTATAGGCCAAAATGTCATAGGAATGCAGGATGATAGGTTATTATAAGGGATGAAAATATTCAGCTAATTACAGTAAGTCAACGCATAAAGGCTGACTGAACTCAGTATTGCACACTACAGTATTCCAAGACCTTAAAGATGATTGAAAAGAGCATCATTTGAGAAAGTGTAAGCCTAATAGTACAGTATATGTGCTGTGTAGTTGAATTAAGAAGCTCCAGATTTAATATTTATGCTTTTTTCATCCAGTGACCTGAGAGAAATATTAAACAACAGCTCTCTGTAGTCGGCACAGTGGATTCACAGTTGAACTATATATTGAAAGAGTTCCCCGGGGGGGCACTGTGCACATCCTCTTGCAGTCCACCTGCATGCAAAGAAAACAAAAGCATGTTCTTTACAAGAGGAATGAATTATTTTATTTTTAGATCACCGTGTGATTCATATCTGAGTTTTGGGGCTAGTCAGCTTTGTAATATAATTTCTTTGTATAGCATAGCTAGATTTCAAAACTCTATTTTATTTAATGTGTGCAAGTGCCATGTTAACCTCAACATCACTGTAGTTGTGCACTGACACATGTAGCCTATGCTTTGCACCAAAGTGTCTGTTTGTGTGTGTCTAAAACTCAAAAATGTTATTACAAATATTTACAATCAAAATCCAATTAAAATGAAAAGGTTGGTTAAAAAACCCAGACCTTTTTGTTTAGGCCTACATCGAGCACCAGTGCATACAGTGTTTGCCTTATAGTCATTGTTAAACCACTGGCTTTGTTTTATGTGCTGTAATGTTTCATTACTTATTATGAACTTTGAAACTTATGCTCCCTTTGCAGGTGAGTGTCTTCAGAGTCTTTACAAATGAATTTATTTAGGTAGAATACATTCATTTGGGAAATGTATGTTGGTCCGTACTCTTGGTGCCCAAGTTGTGCAGCAAGACTGTTTACAATCTCCAGCACATACACATTCAAACATACACTTCATCCACCACATGCATCCCTCCCATTCCAGTCATGACAACCTGTTGGTGCAATGCAGCTATAGGATAAGACCACCCTTTCAATCCCAAAAGTGAGAGGTTGTCCCCTGAGTGTCTTCGAACTCTTGACAATAAGGTGATGAAAATAAAAACCTGGGGCAAAGATGTGACAGAGAACAAGTTTTAACTGTTTTTTTTTTGTGGAAACTTTATCAGAATAACCACAAAGTTTCACTACCTAGTTAGAAACCTTTATTCTTGATAATCAAGCTTCCAAAAGCTTGGCCAAGATTAATTTAAAGTTTATACCAAAACAAAAATATGAACCAACAACTACTTTAACAGGACACACATCCATTCCAGATCTAATTCACAGGTAAATTAAAATACTGAAATATACCACAAAGCACAAGCACACAACATCATCAGGCAGAGCTACTGTATCACCCGACTATAAGCAGTTATGGAGGCTACTGATCACTAACTATAACGCTCATGATGAGCGTTATAGTTAGTGGTCAGTAGCCTTTAACGTCTTACTCTTTTACACAGCACTCTCTAGTGGGCATAATCTGGATCTGCAGTGTAAACATACTAAACATTCTGTGGGGTGCACACACTGAGAGAAACAGAAAAATAAATTAAGGAAATGGTCAGATTCATTGGACTTTGTTTGTTAGTTTTCATTTCTTTTCCATTATGCTTTAGATTTTAGTAAAAAAAAAAAAGCACTAACTGTGGAGATAGTGGGGCAGGACAGAGAGGGAGGTGGAAGTGCATGTTTCTGAGTTAACTTTGCACTTTTGGAAGGGTCGTGATTACTGCCTATATATTCTTTGATGATTTAAGCACTACATGACATTTACTTCCATGTCTTTACATTACTGTAAATATGTTGCTGGAGCCAGCCGCTGGTTAGCTTATCTTAGCATAAGGGGGAAAACAGGGCTGTGAAAAGATAAAGTCTACCTACCCACACCTCTACATCTCCCTAATTAACACACATCTCATTTGTTAAATTTATGCAAAAACTGCTGTGTATCAGCACTTTTAGGAAGGGTTGTGTGTTAGACTATTTTTGGTAACAACAAGACTCCAGAAATGTGTTGTTACCATGTCATATTCCTGGGAAGCTCAGTGAGGTAGGTTTACAAAAGAACTTCCACATGTGACTTGTATCACTTCAAACCAATATGGGTGTAGGGACAAGTGTCTGGGGTGTTTTTCTTTTCTACAGAAGTCAGGGGTCAACTCATGAGTCCTCCAATCTTCCTCTCTATTACTCCGAGCCCACTTTTTTTTAAAGCTAATAAATCCACTATCACAGTGATCCACAGTCACAATCTTGCAGTAAGGGTTTGTAAAATGTTACAACAGGATTGTTCATTGTGCAGACACAGCCTACTTCAATGTCCACTGGGAAAATTTACACGGAAAATCAATAAATATCTATCTAAACTGCAGCAGAAATGGCAGAACAAATGAACAAACCTATAATTCAAGCACGTCCCACACTTGTTATTTTTTTATGGTCATCCAGCTAAGAAAGCTGAAAGCAAAGGAAAAAGGAATTCATAAAACAGTATAGGATTTCTGCCGAAGTCTGGCAACTTTATAGAAGCACACAGAAACAGGAAAAACAGTTAAGTGAAGCAGAATGAACATACCCACCCCCTCTGAGGACTCTGACCCTTGAACCCTGACCTCTGCTTCCATTACAGTGCTTTCACTGGCTGTCAACAACCAAGACAAATAAAAAAAAGCCACATTTGTTGCATGGTTCCTCTGTCATTTGCATGAGGAAATATTACTCTATTACTTTTTTTTTTTTAAAGAAAAATACATGCATCTATTAAATAAGATGTGGCATTTAACATGCAGTGTTAATGTATGTCCAAGGTTTGGATGACTCCCAAAATACTAAATAAAAAGGTTTTGTTTAAGTACCCACAAAAAACTAAGAACAATTTCTGAGGCATATGGAATTGACCTGTTGAAATACAAATGTCAATATTTAACAACACACCTTTACACTTTTCTCATTTTATTCACATACAAGGGAGCTGGTGTTAGATTGTTTTCATTCTTAAAATCTTTTATTTTTATTTTTACTTATTTTTTCCCATTTCTGTTCCAACTTCAAATCCCAGACAGTCCATTACAACTGTGTGTGTGTGTGTATGTGTGTGGGTATTTTCACAAAATTCAGCGATAAGTGGCATGTTCTCATTCTTTTCAGCATCTTAAGCTTACCTTAAGCTGCCTTATCAAACACTGACCCTTCCCTCCCCTATCAGCCTCATTTCCATGGTCCTTAAATGCACCACCCCCATATAAACCAACACTGATCTCCTCTGTCTCCTCAACAATACAGGCGTTCTGACAAAGCAGGGTCGGTTTCCAGACCCCGTCTTTTCACCTCCTCTTTCTTCTTACTTCCCCCACTCGAGTTATTTTGTGTTTGTCAGTTCTTCCGATAGCGATTCTTTGGCTTCTCACCACAGCCGGTAGCCTCACAAGAGGACAGACCCGGCTGCTTGCCAGAGTTAATGCTGCTCAGAAGGGCAGGCAGTTCATTGGTGATTGCCCTCTCAATGTTATCCAGCAGACAGCCCCCAATGTAGGAGCACTGAGATGACAGGGGCTTGAAGTTGGTGATTGGGTTGATGCCAAAGAAGTCACGGTAAGCATCGCGGTTAGGCAGGTCAAATTTACTGACATTAGTCTTGGCTAGGATCGATTTGAAAATGTAGAACTTGTCTGGGTCATCCACAATCTCCTGGAAGACTAGTTCAGGGTCGCTGAAGAAGCTCATCTTCTCTTTAAAAGTCTGAACATAGCGGTCCACCAGCAAGCCATGGATGCGTACACGGATGCCATGCTGGCGGATGAATGCAATCTTGTTCTCCATGCGGTTTTCAATCACCTGGTTCAGATCTTCCAGGAGGGAGATCTCCTCTCGCTTGAAGAGGTCACGGCTGGTGTCGGGTTCATACTCGTATGGCCAAAAGGAGCTGACATAGACACGAGGAGGTTCAGTCACGTTGATCAGAGGTGCCAAGCTCCAAAAGAGGGCACCGTAGACTCTCATTAAATCCTGAGTGGCCAGGCTGTCAGCTTTGTTGAGGATGATGCGAATCTGGGACTCGCGACCCTTCAACTGCCGGAAAAGCATTTCCAACTCCAGGCCAACATCCAGCTTGGTTGGGTCAAATACCACGAAGATCAGGTCAGCACGGTCAATGAACCACTGGCAAACATCATTAAAAGGATAGCCTAGACAGTAGAAGAGAAATAAACAACTGCTACCATTGGACTATTCTGTTCTCCCATCCAAATGATACTGTAATGAGGAGTTTAGTAAAATACAGTATACTTTATTTACTCAATTTACCCAGCTGCTTTATATTTAAACTGTGGTGTGTGAAAATCTGCAAACTGAAGGTAAACATTTCTACTTCACCTCTCTCCTGCTGCTTGCGGTTCTCAATGATTCCAGGTGTGTCCACAAAGGTTACACGTTCTAGCAGCTTATGGGGCATCTCAACACCAATCAGCTTTTCTAGGAAGTTTTGGCCAAACTTCTCCAGGGGAGAAAAGGAGCGAGAGCTGTCTGCTGCCATAACTATACCTTCAACAGAGCGGATCTTCTCACCGTGCATAATAACAGTGAACTCAGAGGTAGTAGGCTCAGCTCCTAAAAGCAAATGAAGGGAACAGTAGAAGAAGAGATTAGCAGCAACAGGATTGGCAAGAAAAATAGACTGGGGAAGATTTTAAAGAAAGACAACACAGAGAGATTAAATAGAACATGTCTGTAACATGCCTGTGTAGAGCTGATAAGGGCTGTCGTTCAAGCCCAGGAGGTAATTGATCATGGAGGACTTTCCTACACTCCAGGGTCCCAGGAACAGCACCATGGGCTTGGAGGTAATCTCTCCATCTGTTGGGCAAGGAGAGACACCAGTGATTAAAATCTCAGCAGGATGACTAAATAATGACAAAAACTTCTTAAGTTCATCCCAAACTTTATATAACAAAATAATGAAAATTATGCTAACATTTTATTTGCTGATGATGAAAAAATATGTGAGAACATTGAGTGTTGACCTGTTACCAAACACGCACAGCATGCGTGTGTGTGTGTGTGTGTGTGTGTGTATATATGTGGAAGCCATACATAGAAGAAAAGCTGATTTTCATTTGTGCCTCATGCAGTCCAACCACAATATACTCTGTGGTTGTTTTTGGGATGAACTATACCACAAGTCTGAGATGCACCAAGAAGCACGTCAGAATAACAGTGTCACTCTTAATCCAGAGCAAAAAGGAATATTTTTAGGATTTAGAAAGGAACTAAAATAAAAGGTAGGTAAAGAAATGCACTGAAGCTGTTAGGTTTGCTTGCTAGTATTTAAAAAGAAAAGTTTCAATTAAATGCTGCAGCCATGTCTCAGTGACATGTGACACATTACTCGGACAGAAGACTCAACAATGCAAGGCTTTCAGAGCAAGCTGTATGCCTGAGCAAGCTGTATGCCTCAGCAAGCTGCCACGTGTGTTTTGAGTGGACATGGTGTCCGGGTGGTAGGGAGCAGAAAAATTCTGGTCCAAACCTGAATTAATTCCACAGAGGAAGAGTACAAAAATATCAAACAAAGAGAGACATAAAAACAAATGATCTCAAAAATAAAAAAAGTCAGCCAATTCAGTCGAACACTGACCACCTTTCCCCACCAGTGTCCCCTCCTTAAGTCTATGTCCTTTGCTAAAGCCAGAGCTGCACATGCAACCCCCTCCATATTTTACATTTTAAACTCTAACTACACAACTTCATGCTTAGTCTCTCTGTAAATATTATATAAAATGTGTTGCTTAAACACAAGTGTAAAGTCTATTATGTTTGTACCACCGAATGTTTTTATTTACATTTCTTCCCTTTTAATTCTTTAATACAAAATGAGAGTTTTGGCGAAAATTTTGAATAAGTAAATCAAGGAGAAAATCCATTTAGATCCACATACTATAGGGTATAAAAGTGCTGTTCTCCCACCTGTGGGTCACTTTGGCCTCATGCCCAAATCAGTGATGATACAATGGGTGTCACCCAAAGTGAAACATGTTTTTGACCCACAGAAAGCAGTGCAGCGTTTATACTGACCTAAGTGACTCACAAATGTATAAGGACAAATGAAGGGGGAAAAGAAATGGGCTGAGCACTTCAGGCAGTGCCATGCACAGGTAAGTCCCCACCCACACCCACCTGTGGCCGAGTCCCCTAGGGTTCGTCCAGGGTAGGCTGTTAGATAAGGGGAGCGGAAGAGATAGGAGTGGAAAGGGGGGAGTACAGAGAAGTGACAGGAACAGAGGGTGGAGGAGATTGAGGAGAGCTCAGTGAGTGTGTGAGCTTTCTACAAGCAAGAGGGAGGGGCAGAGTAACAGTGTGCATGAATGGGTGGGAGTCTAGTTTCATATTTGACCTAATGTGTCAAACATGTCTGTCTACAAATGAATGGCTGGTGTGCACCTATGTGATCAGCTGGTAAGGTGAGTCTAGTCATTCTGATTCATGTTTATTTTGAGGCATGGCACAAGTGGTATCTGACAAATCTGCATGCATGCTAAGTCTGAAAAGCCACAAGAGGGCGTGTTTTATTTCACTGCAGGAAAGAAGAGTTTGTTCTACAGTAGAGGTTCGGTGAGTGTTGAGTTTACTGTGAAGATACGGTGCAAAGTCATTTATAAATCAAACATGGACATTATAAAAAGTGTTGAGGGGAAAAATACATAGAAGAAAAGGGGAAGAAATATTCTTAAAGTAGTGTGAATGAAGTGATCCAGACAAATACACAGTAACACCTTTTCCTGGGCCAACAATACCATGGCAGGTCATTTCACTGTGGGCTGGACTTTATAGTGCATATGATAAGAAGTGAAAAAAGAAAGTGTAAATGCTACTGTTATATACTCATGGTGTGAATATAATGTGTGTGTACAAACACGGTGTCAAATCAACCAAAGTCACCAAAGCAACCAAGACAGAAAACCCACATAACAGAAGCAGCAGAAGTCTCCATAATACCTGAGATCTCATGCTGCCTCAGTTCATTGTACTTGTAGGTCTGCTCCATCGGCTTGATGGATGTGTGGTAGATCTTCCGCAACCTCTGTAGAGCAGCTGGAGAGCCAAAAGAAGACAAGGAAAGTGTCATAGATCCTCAGAAAAAGATATTTAAAAAGAGGCACGTTGGACAATTTGAAACTAGACGAAATAACAATCAGAGAATGTTCTGAGTTTCTCTTGAGTACAAATGTCTAACCTTTGATTTCCCGTATGACCCTTTAAAATGAAATAATATCTATACAAGGCCTCTTGTCACATCATTCACAGTTACTGAGTTGCAAGTTCCATCAGTGATTTTCAGATTGCTACAGTTGTTACTTCTCAGATTTCCTGTGTGACCCCTTCAAGTTGTAGTACATGTTTCACTTTAGTGCACAACCTGAAAACCAACTCATTTATTTATGTGTTGCATAAATAATCAAATCTTTGGAATACCTATGTAATTTACAACAAAATTGGGGAAAGAAAATCAAATCAACGTTCGGCTGCTTGGCATGTTTTACTGAGCTAACTTCAGTCTGTCAGATGCAGTCACAGCACCTAAATGTTTGATCCTCACCTGCATAGTCTGCTGCTTTTTCCTCAGTTGCAAGTCGCAGTGTCTCGTCAATGTGAGCTCTGTCTCTGAGGACGGGAGCAAAATCTTCTTCTTCTGTAAAAACATTAGGAACATGTAACTTGGTTCATGTCCTAAAAGCCAACCACCTAGAGTTTCATTATGAAGCTCACACGGGGCTTCATGACAGCCAGTCATACGTGTTAATTTTTTGCAACAGAGGACAGTGATGCTACTATTTCTAGTCAATATAGATAGCCAGAATTTCAATATATTCATCAGTACTGTATGCATCTCCTGGGAATTTAAGTATGACACAAAGATAACTGATAATAAATGCTAAGTCATATTCAGGTATAGCAGAGATTTGAGCTGCTGCATGATGAAATGTTTGCAACCTCATCTGTAGCCCCCTGTACACCAAGTGCATTTTCTGTTATTGCCACTTCTGTCTTACCGTTAGCTTTGTGAATAAGTCTGGCAAGAATGACAGCTATGCATAAAAAAAAAAACACTTTTTAGTGGCACTTTTTTACAGGGTGTCAGACAACTTTTAACATTTTCTGCTGTGTGATACAGCACAAAACAGGGACAGAGGCCACAGACACCATTATCCTGTCAGTTACCAAATACTTTGTGTGCTTTGAACCTGGTAACGATAACAAAATGCAACTCAATCTGTGTGTGCACTACAAATCCATCACTTTTGATGTTATATTGTATAAATATATCTTTTCCTAAGACACAAATCTGGGCTTTAAAGTAGAACAGTTTTTTGTTTTGTTTGTTTTTCCCAAGTTTTTTTTATATGAAAAATGGGTATGGTGCGTTTACACATCTCATAATGTACATGTGTCTGATATTTCAGTGACTCTTCTTATACCCATTGTGTATATGTGTGTAACAGAGAGAGACTATGTAATTTGTCTTTTTTATTATTGTGATGCTTGCTGTGTCTTTATATTTGTAATTGAAGTGTTAATGCTTTGGCAATACTGTATATGTAAACAGTCATGCCAATAAAGCTTATTAAATTGAAAAATTGAATAGAAATGAGAGAAAACATGTCATCTACCGGGTGTGTCATCTCCACTTTTGAACATACTGGGTTACTTAGATCATAGCTGTTAGTACAATCAGTTCTTAATTTAGAAAGCAAACACTGAAAATAAACAGACAAAGACATTTGTTTGGCATCACCATGGGCTTTATAAGAAGATCAGAGAGACACAGAGAGGGACTTTCCCACTTTCATACAGGATTGAGTTTTCACTGTACATGAGACAGTGATGTGCAGTCCTCTGTCTTTTCTCTTCTATATTTAGCCATTTATCATAGGCTAATCTATGAGGCCTGTCCTTGTGCACCCAGGCCTCAGAACAGACTTCCCCGTAGTGTCTCCTATGCAGCTCTGCTTCAGACAAACCTGTTACAGCCGTGAGGTGTACATAGAAATGTTAGGTCACTTTAAAATGGTATTTACAGCATGTTAGTGGAATATCGACTATGTACTGTAAAACACATGCCATAATCAGAATATTGATGTTAAATCACTACATTATTATTTACACTTTCTCAGTATACAACTGCTCAGTTCAGTTTACTGACACAGGAAACAGAGTTCTTTAACTTGATCTTAAAATAAGATCAGCTGAGCTCCTTTACAAAACTCTAGACAAAAAAAATGCAGTCTTATAAAACTAATAATATACCATGAAGAGACAGGATCAACAGGTGTGAAATGTTGACACTGCTGCCCAGAGTATAATCCTCTGATCTCAGCTGGTGACTGGTAGGGAACCTGTTTGCCCAGGTCATGTCTGGGCATTTGTATAATACTCAAATCACAAAAGAACTGGTTTAATGTACTTGAGATCTTATGTCAGAGGAACAAAACTCTTCAGAATATTGATTTGGAACAGGTCCAATATACTGGAATGGGAGTGTTTACAAACAAATCTGCTCAGGTGCATTAGCAACATGTTCTGGGTCAGGTGAGAAGATGAGGTCAGGAAGTGACACACTCAGTCATACTCTCCATAACCCCCCTCTTTTGTAACTCAGTGAAATATATGTTGTATCTTACAGTGGAGGATAAACATAAAAAATGACCAACTACACATGATTTTGTAAAATCACTTCTTTTTTGTTGTCAGATCCAAATCCTGAGAAACAGTTTCCAGATGATAAACAGTGCTAGATCGTTTTTTTACATCTAATAATAAACTGTATATCAATGTGAAAAGACCCCGCTGTGTCAGAGGACAGCACTGCCATCACATCCTGCACCTTAACCTGGAGTATAGCCAATGGCCAAGAGGTCAATGACTTCTAGTGTTTCTGGCCAAGAGTCAGAAATGCACATCACACTGGTGCATCAAATGACAAGTAAAATCATCTGAAGGCTGGTTTGTTTACAAGCTCGAAGCATATAAATACATTTACGTTTAGTAAAACTGAGCTGGCTCAAAAAAGGTGTCTGTCAACTGAGAAATCCAGGGTGCACTTTCTATCAGTCCTGTGATTTGATAGAAAAATCACACCATAGGAAGCCAAAAGGAAAAAGTCCAAACTGTGCACAGTTAAATTATAATGTAAGGACTCCCCAGAATAATGTCATAAGACAGTGTATAGTTTAGACTTTAAGAAACCCCAACAGTTGCTCCTTTGATGAATAACAGCACTGACACAAACAACTGGACAAGGAACAACGTAAAACTGTTGATTCTCCCTGAGTCAACCTACTAAAAATAAGATGTCTAATAGGTAATTTGTTTGTTTTTATTCTCAAGAAGGCGCAGTCAGTTGGGGTGGAAAGGAGTGTCTTTCCAAAACAACAAGGAATAATCTGACTATTCAGAGCATTCATGCGACCTTTTGAGTTGTCCTTCTGATGTTTCTCAAACATCTGAGTTGCAGTGATAGTGGCATTACTCATTTGGCAGAACTTTTAGTACACTGGAATTGTTTGCACTTTATTTTAAAATTTAAAAAATGTCAATGGAACAAAACAAAATGGACGGTATCTTTTTACACATGTGATCCTGTGATGACGCAAAAGTGTGTTTTTGTCAGTGTGACAGTAGTCACCCTGCCTAGAGGATGCAAAGGATATTCAACTTGGAGCCTAGAGTGGCTTTTTAGGAACACATCCCATTTTCTCAGTCCACCAAAGCAGCACACAAAGCTTACTCAAGCACCTGTAACTTGACTCATTCAGATGAGTCATGTCTTTTAACATTAGCCTCTTGAATGGGGCTTAACTGCTGCAAACGTGTTAACGGCTTCCAGTACAGTGAATCCGACAGAGGTCCTGGGACAGAGTTCCGCAACGATCAGAGAGGTAGTGTTGCCTGTGAATGGTGGGCCGTGCTTCAGTGTTCAAAATTAACTTTAGGGCACGAGGGATATTGAGCCCCAAATATCTGCTCCCAGAACCATACGTTCTCATGGAGACCGTTGAAACACAAGCCTTAGTTGTGAGAAACAACTGGAATCATCAGTGCATCCTGAAGGACTGTGCAGCCTCAGTGGCTGGGTGACTCATGCCTCAACTACGTTCATATGGGGGGACTATTCAATCATCAGTAGCTGCAAGTCTGAAAAGTATGCACAAATCTTTTGCTTCAGTTTAAAGACTCCCTGTTTTTAAATATTTGAATTTCATTGTACAGACTGATGAATGCACAGGCTTTGTAACTTGAAGACTGTTCTCACAAAAGAAAAGCTTCTCTATACTTTCTATACCAGTGTGATGTGTGCATTATTTAATTTACTCAACGCACACAACCAGGGAATAAATACCCTATGTATTATCTACTTATGCAGGCATGCATATATGCATGTGCTTATGTATCTGCAGTCATGGGCATTTGCACTGTTTATATTAAAGATCTCTCTAAGTCTAACCTCCTGGGATCATGCTGTGCTTGCAGCACAGTTGAGGTACATTGACTTAAACTGAACATGTTGAAGGCAGCAGTTTTGGAAATCTCAGTCAGAAAATTTATCCTGAATACAGGGGGGAGATTCAAGCAACCTTACTGATGACCAGGGGTTCCACAGGGGAGGCCCTGATTTCATTCCATTTTAAAAATGCTGGAGATTTTTTTATACCCACTAATGTGTAAAACAACCATTTAATGGGTATTAATGTAACACAGAAGGTAAATTTCTTTTTCATTTTAGAAGGGCATTGCACATATAGTTTTCTAAAAATGATTTATTAAAAATAAATAAATTCATAACTTTAACGTACCCATGTGCATGATTTTACCCTGGCAAGGGTCAGAGCAGTCAATGTATGTGCAGGGCATGTTGAGAAGAGGCCATGGATGGCAACAGGTGGCACAGCTTGTGGAACTAGTACTCCCCCATAGTCAGAAATAGCCCCACAGAGAGTTAGAAAATGGACAGGGGAGGGGGCAGCATGGCTGCCTCCTATTTTAAGGTTTTGACTGTTCAGTCTGGAGACTCAGAGACATCTACATCCGACAGAGCTGACTGTGTGATATACAGGCTAACCAAGAGAAACGACCAAATGCAACAATGGTTTTCTTCTTTTCCTTGTATTGGAGGCATTTTAAACAAGAAATGCAGTTCAGTCACAAGTATAATTCAGTCTTTGTTACGTATACATTAGATCTACTTTTACATTTCCTTTAATTGTAGCCTGTCAATTTCAGACATCTTTTCACAAAATTCTTGATTGTATAGTAAAACAACAAAAACATTAGTCTCTAGGTTTGTCACTGGCCCTTACAAATCAGCTTGTGTGAGCACATCTATTCTCTTAGTCCTCCCAGGGTTCACTGTTAGCTAGACATGACATGGAGTGACAGGCTCCAGGGCAAAGGCGCTTTACGCCGAGGTGCTGACTTGATGCCTTTATCCCCACTTTTCTGTTTGAAAGTCAAGAAAAGACTTCAGGTCTCCTTGGGATGGGAGTGGGTTATGGGGTCTTAGGGAGTCCCTTCTATTACCACCATGACAGAGATGTCCCAGACATGCCATCACAGGGGATCACATGGATGCAGTGTGCCTTTAAATTTGTGTCTCCCCTCTGCGAGGTGACAAGGCCAAAAATGTTTTTATTGCATTAAGGATGGATAGTATTACCACTCAAATATAAACAAACTGGAGACTCATCAAGGCTGCAAAGAGGTTGTGATATATTTGCATTTGAGAAGAGTCATAATTAGTTTGGATATGCTTTCTGTGCTGACTGGTTCTGGATTTTAGCAATCTGTTGTAATTAAAATCGCATTAATGGTATTTTTATATTCTATTATCTGTTGTTAAGTACCCTTTGCACTCAAACCCCACAGTTTTAGTCCTTGTTTGGTCAGGCAGTGTGATCCACAAACAACCTGGTTAGTGTAGTGTTTCTAGCAATTGTACTGTATAACCCTATAGTTAGTACAGGAGCCTATGTTTGCCATTACTTGCCAACAGTGAGCAGTGTCAGACCCACATATGACCATGGAAATGAGCAGTATCACTGAGCCAGATTGGCCATGTAACGCACTCGTATATGTCAATTTTAAAAAACCACAGGTTTTCTCTCTTGCTTGCTTTGGCATGAAAAACTGAAGGTATTTAATATGTGCAGGCAAACAACTATAAAAGAAATATGATGGCAGAGTCAGATAAGCTATCCCAAAAGATCTCCAGGTATGTTCTCATTACTTCTAACTTGCCTACAGTGTCCAAAATTAAGGAGTCATAGAACAGCGTCTTTCTCAGACAGCTCTAAATGACCAGTTAATGCAGCGCGTGCTGCTCACATAATCGGTTGGTGTCAATCGCCAAATGTCTTTGAAGTAGCACGTAACAGAAACGTGTTTAAGATTTCATAACATCACTGTTTATGCTGTGGTGTTGCTTTTAGCTTTATTTTTAACAAAATGTTCAGAAAATCTAATAAATTGTAGTGTTACAATGCAGTGGAATTGTCTTTGCTTTTTGGACTGAAAAGCTGCACAGCACAGGGCATAGCCAACCTATGATGGAATGATAAATTGATTTCACATTCCTTAAGAAGGAGACCACCTTTTCTACTCCTCTGCAGAGCTCATTTGAGTTAACTGACAGAAATCAAACTAGTCAATAACACAAATAACTGCACACTAAACAGCAACGATTCTTATAATTGCTTGAATCTTATAGAATCAAATTACTGCATACTGTGCAGGAAAAAAAATCTATAGAGATTATACACATGCAATAAATTTAGAAAGGCTACCAAAAGACACCTGCACGAGTCTGCAGAAGGTGCCTATGAAGGCATGAGCTGAAGCCACATCCTGGCCCCTCCTGTCTGGAGAATGCATGTCCCTATAAGGCCAACTGCTGGGAATAAATTGTGATTGTGACAGTGTGGATTGACAGCAGCTGTGCAGTGTATCTAAAGGGAAGCATGGGCCTGGGTGGGGTGAAGAGTGAGGAGGGAAAGGGGGGTCAAAAAGAGGGAGGGAGAAACGGTAGTGGACAGTGTTGGGTTTCACGAGACCTTCCAATCTTAGACACCTGACAGCAGCCTGGAATATGGAGGCCTGGCTCTGGGCTGCGGAGTTGAACGCCACCCCAAGGACAGACAAGGGTGACAAACAAGGGTAACAACAACCGCTCAAACCAGTCAACATTTTCAGAATAGATAATCTAGAGGTTTTTGTCAATGTGAATTTCAACTCCATAGGTGCTATGTAATCATATTTACCATGGGACCTGCAGATTACCATGCTAATGATCACCACAAGAAATGTTGCCCCCTATAGGATTTCCAAGTCAGGAGAAACTCTTATGAACCAAGTTGTCGAAGATAAAATTTAAGAATAACAAGCAATGAGACCATATGAATGAATGCCAGAGTTGAAGAGAGAAAAAGCTCAATATCCATTTAAGCTCCCACGTGGCTGTTCTCTCCTTGATTAGAGTAAGACTTTCCATCAGCTGGTGCCATGCATTAGGACAGCTGGCATGCTGTCAGTCCAAAGGAGAGGCTGAACTCTAGTTTGAATAATCCTCAACTCCTCATCTGCAGAAACTCACATGTGACATTTGTTCATGCAGTGAAAGTTGCAGGCATTACAATGTTCTTGTTTTGGATTTAATAATTAAAAGACATGCAGAAGAGTGACTTAAAGCTTTCATTTTGTAATGCGTGCCAGTGGCTTCAGTAGGACAGATTTTAAATAGATGTGCATGGTGGCAAAGAAAAACCAGGATGCCATTTCTGTCTTTATCTTTGACTATACTTGGCTAACTGTCCCAATGGCTGTTACCATCCTCATGTAATCTGCCTCCAAACGCTAGTGTAATTTGTGACCAAAGCGGCCTCACAGCCAGTGCAAGAAATGAACCTACTTTTGACCATACAGCAACTCATTCTTGATCATTTGAACAGTCTGAATCACAGCTTCTGAATCTGAAGTGACATTATCATTAAACCAACAGAGAAATCACCTACAGCAGCAGCACATTTAGTTAAACTATCTTCCAAACTCAAACTATGTCACAATTTCATTTATTTGCAGCTGTTGTACACAGGCATTTCTAATGCTCACGGTGCACCATCCCACACAAAACAAAACAAACCTATCTTATATTTTTTTTTAAAAGCTCCCATCTTACCTGCTGTGGCCTGCAAAAGCAGCAGGCAAAGGAAACAGCACATTGAGAGTGTACCCTTCATGATGGCTGCCAGGAGAACTCTGATAGTCTCAGACTATATATACCAAGGCAGGAAGGTTAAAGGGCATGCAAAAAGAAGAGGCGGGGAACAGAGAGGGCCAGCTGGTAGAGGGGCTGAGATCTGGGTATTCAAAGTACTGCTGGAGTCAAAGCATGTCACGGGGACTCTACGTGTACAAGCAGCTGACTCTCCTTTTTAGAGGTCGCAACTTGGGCCTTAGCATCGGTGCACCAAGACCTGGTTCTGCTTGTCAGTGCTGAATCACTCAACTTCTCATTGTCCATCATTTTACAAAATGTGTTTTAAAAATGGAAAATAGGTACAGGTTTTAACACCTCTATGAATGAGACGATGCACTATACTATACTACTTTCCTATTAGTAGTCTGACTCTGGGGAAAGTAGTATAGCAGTGTTTGACATTGAAAGTTTTTTTTTCTGTTTTTGATTTCTTTCCAAGAGTTAAGTGAGAAGATTAGTAGCTTAGATATAAGTAGGTATGAGACCTGCTATTGTATCAATTAACCAAGAAAGACATTAATTAGTGAACTGGTGGTGTAGGTAGTTTTCTTTGACTTAGGAGAGAGGCTAGCTTCCAGTCTACATGCTAAGCTAAGCTAAACAAAGCTAAGCTAATCACTTCCTAGCTTTGTACTCTGTATTGTGTATTGATCTTCTCATCTAAAGACAGGCTTCGTTACTACAGACAGAACAGAGTTAATAGTTTTCCTCTGTTTACAGTCATATGTGCTAAGCAAAGCTAACTTGTGGTTGTAGCCATATAGTTAGCCTAAAGGATAGATTTGAGAGTTGAATTGACCTCAACTAATTCTCAGCAAGAAAGCAAGTAGGTGTATTTGCCAAAATGTACAGCTCCAGAATTCAATTAAAATGCAAATACTTCTATTAATGGTGAAACAATAAATTAAGGATTGAACTATTTATCAAATTAAGATAGAATCACAATGAGCTGCTTTGGGTGTTTTAAGTCTTCTCTCACCAAAATATTTGTAGTAAATATACTTACAGTACACGAGGGCCTGGCATTGGAGAGAAATGTCAAACCCTTATTCAAGGGAGGAATACACAATATTCACTTGGCTGCCGTGTTGGCAACATAATAATCATAAGGGTGTGAGAGAGGGAAGGATGAAAGCTGAGGAGAGGGTTATGTCTGGAACATAAAGACCCCCGAGACGACCTGGAATCCATAACAGAGCTAAACGCCTGGCAGATTACTGCTTTATCACACTCCAACACTTGTGAACATAAGCTCACAATTCCTCAGGAATCAACATTCCAACTGTAAAATTAATCCCCAAATATGACGAGTTTTTCCAAGCATGTCCCTCTCATATGATTTTGAATGGAAGGGTTTCTAAGCAGTACAGCATATTGGCCCGTGAAACTACCTCAATCCTGAGGAACTTCCCTGGTGACAGGATGTGGCTATGAGGTTAAATGATTTGTTTATAAGCAATCTGTGCATTTGATAGGCTTTTATGAATTCTAATAAACATTTATTCTTTATTATAGATGACAAACACTGGCATCAACCTTTTCCACATGTAGCTTTATAATGACTGCTTTGATGCTGCTGTCACCAGAAATGATCACAGACCAACAGTTTGTAATGCCTCAAGCCAGTTCATTCAGACATGTAGAAAATGTTTTCAAGTCCTAGCTAAGAAAGGTGTCATCAGCTTTTGCAGCATAATAAGAAAGTACTAGATCATATTTTGATAAATTCAGCAAATGTATGCTATAGTGCATAAAACTTCAAATGCTAACTGAAGTGTTGCATTTTTAAAAAAAGTCTTAACCTATGCTATTAATGCATTAATGGAAGTTTGAATTGTTCCTTTGTGAAAAAATTGACATATTCTAATGAGCATTTTAATTACATTGTTCCATACTGACAAGGTTTTCTGACTCTTGTTACCTGATCTAGAACTATCTAAAATGTCATTAGGTTCATAAATGTAATGACAGATGGGTCCTCGACCTATAGGGCTCTCGCTCAGGCTGTAGGAGGCAGCATACTAACAAATACATCATATAAATATTACTGAATGAACACGTGTGGGTGTGAACAAGAGGCTTGGAATGAATGAATGCATGTCAGAGAATACTGACAAGAGACGCCACCTACTGTTCTGGGTGCACCTTTTTAACTGTCAGAGAGAAGCTGCTCAATCTTAATTTAGCAATGAGCTGAAAAGCTGGGAAGGGACAGGGGGGCTTTAAAACTTCATCCACCAATCAGGAATAGACACTTACATCAGCTGTACTGCCATCCATTCCTGAAGGAAGACAAATTTAGCAGGTTATGTCATCATTACTGCCATAACAGTTCAATACATAGTGACATGCTCATTTTGAAGACACAAAAAACAGGAGAAAAAAAAGTCAAACACAGGGCCCAGTGTGTAAAAAACAAAGTACAAACTTTTATTATTCTGTTTATACAAAGGCACATGCCTCTTTATCCCCAAAACATTTCTTTAAAAAAAAAAAAAAAAAAAAAAAAGCTTCTTGATGACCATATGCACTGACAGATCTAACAAAAATAAAAGGGGGAGGGGGAATAACAACAGAGGGAAGGGGAGCTACAAAATTGGAAGGGAGGCAAGCAATATTGGCAATAGATGAACAAAGAAAGCATAAAAGATGGCAAAAGAACTAAAAATGGATGAGAAGGGGCAAACAGGACAAGATGTAGGAAAAAAGAACAAAAAGTGATGCGAAGGGGCAAACAGGACAAGATGTAGGACTGAATATGGAGTGAAACAGGGATACACAGCTGTGCGGTTTTTACTCATAACCTCAGGAGCTTCAGCTGAGGGAATGCCCCTTTGTACAAAAGAATGAGGCGGACCCCAGTATACTACAATAAGTGCTTTGTAATCTTGACCAATTTTATGATCCCCAGACTCATTCAATTCATCTGACAAACTGATATGTCCTTGGAACATTTCCTAACACAGAAAAGAGTGTAATACACAGACAGAACTAGAACCGTTTTGAAATTCAGCAGAAAACTATCAAATGCAGATACTCTTAGGAAAAACCAAGGGCTCCACCAAAAGCAGAGCACACACCATGTTTTCAACATCCAGGAATCCCGTTCCTATAACGATAAGTACTGGGAACATGTCCCATGATTACATTTGACAGATGTGTCACAGAGCAGCTGACATCAATGTTTCCTTAAAGGGCTATTCCATGAAATAATGATAAGATGAGGTGTGTTCAGTTGAACACATTACCTGTCCAGCAGTTCAAAACTCCACCTCTTCATTGATGCAGGAAATCTATAACGAGTCTGTTGCTAAATGCAATTTTAACATAGGAGTGATGTGTCAAAAGCCCTAATATAACTGTAAAATCTAAATATACCAGGTTTAACATTTGAACAGTAACCTGATTAGAAAAATAAGTAAACGTTTATGGAATGTTAACATTTCAATGTATATTTTTTCTCAACACCTGGAAATACTAGTGCACACAAAGGGGGCAAACAGTTGCAAATCTACATATAAATCCAATGATAACTCAATATTCTGAGACATTTTGAATACTCAAGAGCATCTGAATGTAATTAGTACACCAGCAACCTGTTTTTGAGGAAAACAAAGTAAACATACATTTGAAATTATACAAAATGACTGGCAATATACTGTATATTCTAACACACCCCAGGTGTTTACAAGCCTGTCTGGACAGGCGAGTTGAAGTCCAGAGGGATTCCAGTGGCCACCAAACAGCCCAGATCAAGTGTTCAGGTACATCTCTCAGACACTAGGGCTGTGTTAAGGCTGGCTTCACAATGCCTCTCTGCACTCAAGGCCTATTATTAAGGCAAGATGCTGCCTCTCTCAGCTACATGTCTTAATGTTTATCTGTCTGTCAACCAACAGTTTCAGGCAAAACACAATTAAGAATAAGATCTAACCATAAACATGTAAGTATCATGGTACATTAGATAAAAAGCGTGTGAAAGGACAAATGATGTATGTGAGGAAATGCATAGAGCATGTTTGGTCTACCCAGTCACCTCCATAGCACATTCAAAAAAAATAATTTTACTGGATATTTTCCGCATATTCTGCTGTGTAGCACATTTAAAAAAAAATTTAACTGGATATTTTCCGCATATTCTGCTGTGATAACTGTCCCATCAGTTGGAAACCCCCCCCCCAAACTGTTAGGGGCTAAATAAATCCAGCCCTTAAAATTGAGCAAACAAGTGATTGCATGTCAGTCATACAGTATTTGTATGTGTGAATGTTGTGCACACATACACGTGCCTTAGTGTCAAGGCAAAAGCTGTGCTGGTGCAGACTACCAGAGTCTGGGGCACCTCTAACGCTCTGCTAATTCAAAAAGAGAAATACACACACCAGTTGAAATCACTTGACTACCCACAGATTAGCTTATTTAACAAGCTAGGTGCTTTTATGTTCAAGAGGGGAGGATGCTAAGAAATATCAAAGCACTGATTCTTTTTTTAAAGAAGAACATGCCAAATATATCTGTGGGATTACTGGGAACCCAGCCCGTAAAAATGGCAAACAAACAAACAAAAACTGTGAACCAGTATGTGCACTTTCTCCTCTCGAGCTGCACTTCACTTCCTGTGAGCACCAGTTAAACATAAAAACTGTTTTCAATTTTTTTCCCCCCAGTACAGTTGCTTTAACTTGCTGGCTGAGGGAGCCTTAGAGAAACAAAACATGACAAAGTGGACTTAACAAAATTAAAATCATCATCATTTATCCAGAAGCCTAACAGGTGTGACTTTGAGATGGTCTGATAAGCTCAGTGTCTCTCCAAAAAACTCAGATGGATCAAGAAGAGAAGGTTTAAAGAATGTTCATCTTAAACGTAAACGCTCTAGTGTTGGGTGGTGATGCTGCCACACTGCTGGGCTCTTCACCATCTTTGCCTGCTGTTCCACAGACCAGTCACATGTTTTCAAGCCCAAATAGACAGAACAGTTCTGGTGGTTAATGTAGATTCATAGCAGACATTTGAAATTCCAGTATCCAGTATGACAGAGCATTTATAGATCAGTTGATGAAGTAGTTGTTCTAATAACCTTTCTATAAATTCATGAACAGGCATGAGTTCTGTGAATGAGATAGCAGGGGGCAAAATATAAGCGAGAGAGAAAGACGCAGAAGAGAGTGCATGAATGGGCTGCCTATCACGGTACAACATGTAAGAGTGTATATTAAAAAAGGAGAAAAGAGAGTGCTTCAATCTATCTACCAGCCCTATCAATGTCCACTGAACAAGAGTGCTGTGGGTTTGTCGCCTCACGCAGCCCTGGTCTGCTTGGGCCTTTTGTGTGTATGTATGCATGTAAATGTACGGCGTGTGAGACTTCAGGAATGACCTCAGGGTAGCGAACAGTCCTCAGGCCCATCACTATTTGAGGCTGTGTCTGAGCCCCCCACATCAGAGAGGACTCGACCTGAAGTGACGATGACCGCTCTCCGCTGCTCCTCCTCGCCAACACAACCCTTACCCTGGGTGCCCTCAATGTGCTGGATTGCCTGGAGTAAGAGGGAGGAACAGGGCCGTATATCAGAGATGTGAGTGACAATAGCACCCTCTAGTGCTCAGATCTGAGAGACCTTTGCTGCACCAAAAAACTATCCATTAAATTCATGGCAAATAATTTTAACAGTCTTACTTGAACGATAGTGTCCAGGTTCTGTCGAGATGTGGACACTGCATTGATAACGGATGCTGGGCCCATGGTTACCACGGTGACATGATGGGACTGGGGAGGTTGGGCAGGTGCAGGCACAATGACCGTGGCATGGTGTGTAGGTGCAGGAGGGGTAGGTGGGCCCAACACCTGGAACAAAGCAGCACTTATTACATCTTATGCTCATATGACCACTTCACTGTGCTAACAAGTGATGTCGGTGCACTCAAACCGCACTATAAACCTGCAGAAACTAACATGAGTATATACACAAATACATACAAGTATGTAAACACATACACTAAATACAACTGACAAAACAGCTGGGAAGCATACTGAATATTAACCAGGCCAGATATTAAGAAGCTTTCACAAACCTTAATTTAGCTTTTTCTGTGTGTTTTGTGTCTAACAACAAGCTTATTGGGCAACTGGTCAGTTTTTTCCTGAAATAGCGCAAATAAGATTTGCTCTGCTTTCACATGAAGGTGCCAATTACCAAAACAGAGCCCACCAACCCAAAGCAGTATGCTCAAATCAAAGGCAACCCAACCTTGTCCAATTTGCTACATACAGTATATGTTTATTAAAATCTGTGTCATGTTACTCACCTCCTTACAACGGGCATAGAATTTCACTCCAGATTTTATTAACAGTTGAACAAAGAATAGTAACTCAAGGCCCAGTTGCATGTTTTTTTTTTTTCCCGGTGGGCTGATTAGATTTTGGTGGTCAAGGGTCAAAGGTCAAGGTCATTGTGACCTCATGCCTGGTCCATTCTCATGAACACAATATCTCTGGAACATCTGGATGGTATTCATTCAAATTCAGCACAAATGTCCACTTGGACTCAAGGATGATGTGACAACGCTCTCCATGAGTCCTCTGTACTCCTCTGTAAAAATAGTCTCTAAGTGAAGAGAACATGTTTCTCTTACTCACTATAAACATACATATCAATATAGTGACAGCTTCCATTTTGCAAAAAAATACATTTAGTAACTTCAAAGTCTTCACTACATACCTGTATATTAGACAAGTCTGGACAGACATGCACGTAGACTGCAACTTCACTGGTTGACTAGTTTTTCTAGTTTTTGCAGAGCTTTCAGCTACATCTTAGGGTCGGATGTGAGTGAGCTATAACATCCTATAATAATTTTATTCCATTAGGTTGTGATTGTAAATTTGTCAGATTGATATTGATTTGAGTGCATATCACTTAGCTCTGGTTGAGGAGGTACAAAGTGTTACATGCTAAACCACAGTGTATCAATCATCTTCCACTACCAGCACCCAGCTGTCAGCAGCAGTGGATGGGCAGAGAGCACACGTTGACTGACTTGGCATCATGTTCAGCTCGAGTTAGCCTGCAGAAACAGGATACTGCGGCTGTCAGGGCAGGACACAGGCACAGCAGAATGATGTGTGAGCTGCTCGTTTAACACACTATAAATTGATGACAGCTCTAACTTGGAAATAAAGGTGACTGTCATGTGCTACTGTGTTGGTGTGAAATCAACAACGCACTGTGCGATTAGTCAGAAGTGCATGTGCTTTCACATGCTACAGTATATGCTTCAACATGTTTATTGCCAGCTGCTTGGTAAATTTAGGCTGAGTCCAAAATAAACCCTGGTTTTCAAAATATAATGGACAAAAAGGTTTGTCTGCCTAGATATGGGAAAGTTTAAAAAAAAGGATAAAGGTTGCATCAGAAAACAGAAAATGTGATTAAATGGACAGGATAAAACCTTTAAGAATATTTACTGTAGTTATTTGTTCTGCCTTCGATATTTACATCTATGTCTATAGTATATATACAAACAGGAGAAAGCTCCATGTCACAATTAGTTCTAATAAGGGCTGTTTGTGTTTAAGCATAAAATGTCTATACAGGGCTTTAAGTTAACCTATTACAAAAAAAGTGAAATGCATGAGCACAAACATTCTCATATCATTCAACTGTTTATGCATGAGTCACACTCATATGTAAGTGTCTCCAACCTGAGGGCTGTGGGCTGGAGTAAGGTCCCTCTCCAGCTGCTTCTGCTGCTGCAGACGAACAAGGCTCTGTGTTTGGGCCTGCTGCTCTTGGACCTGCTGGGCGATCGCTTTCAGTTTCTCTGGGTACAACTGGGCATCCAGGGAACGCATCTGACAAAACCGCAGGAGATAAAAGTGTCAGCTGCAGTTCAAATCAATGTAAGGCAATGGGTTTGTTTCAGACTTTTGAAATTGACAGTGGCTGTTCCTTACCTGTTCTTCCAGAATCATCCTGACTGACCGCTCTTTCTCCAGCTGCTGCCTCAGCTCAATCATCTCCCTCCTCAAGTCCTCCGTCTTCTCCTCCTCCAGGATGTCTGGCGAGCCAATGCCTTCATCCTTTTCCTCTGCACGCCTCCTCTTTGGGGAGGAACCACTTAACTCCTAGGGAGTGCAAACACAAACTGGATGAAGGCCAGAAACACCTGGCAATGACTTTGGTAACAATGTAAGGTTTGGCACAGTGATACTTTACTTGTATGATTCGTTTCAGTTGACTGTTTTGCTGCAATAGCCGTGTTTTTTCTTGCTCCAAAGTGAAAATGTACTCTGCTGTCTGTTGCAGGATGGCAGCCTGGGGTAAAGAGAAAAACAATCATGAAACCGGTCTGTTATGAAGGAGAGTGAAGACCCTTAAAGCTCCATACAACTCATCATCCCATTCAAATCTCTGTTTGTGACCCACCTTGCTGAGCTTCTCTCCATCGCTGTGTGGGATAAGTGTTTTAAGTGACTGGAATCCAGCATTGATGCTCTGCATACGCCGACGCTCATTGCTGTTGGCAATCTCTCTGCGAATTCGCCTCTCTTGGTCACGGGCTGTTTCTGGGGTCAGAGGAATGTTGGCCAGACTAAGAAAAAAGGGAGAATGAGTAGGGGGACAGGAGTTAGTTGGGCATTGGGAAAAAATAAAACCTGCATTTTAAACAAAAACTTTTAAATATTGCCACTTGTTGCTAGAAATCATCTATGCAGGTTAACAGTAAAAAGTGACACTGTACAAGTCACAGGCTATATAGGCATATATTAACATATTAAAGGAAAGATACATCCTCAGGTACTACTGAACCAAATTCCTATAGTGTGAAGTTCTTTTTTGACTGCATGTTTTGATTTACTTTTTAGGTCAATATAAATTTGATCAGTCTGCTTTTTCTACTGCTACTTCAGCTTCCTTCATTTCTCAGAATTACTTTAGGCAGCCCCTGGTCGAGCAAATGGAAATAAACAGGTCTGTGGCAAAGTTAGCAAATGCTTGTTGTCATAATCCCTACTTACTCAACATGTACAAGGATACTGTCCATTGAGATCTTAGGATTTCTGATGTCTTTGCTCTTTAGTTTATGCTTTCTCACCGTGAAACTACAGATATCACCATTTCTTTTTGGGTTTCTATTCACTTTAATTGATTGGGGTGCAGTAGCATCACAACTCCAACACATAAAACACTAATTTTCTACATGGCTAGACAACATGTAGTGAGCAAATATGTATTTTTATGATTTGGATGATGTATTTACCATTACATCACCACCACCATAACTACTCATCTGTGTATTCCATAAGTAATAACTAAAATATAAAACACTACACTTGTGTCATAACTGTTGTAAGCAAGCACAGTGGGACATTGCATTTTACAAGATTTGTGGGAGTGATCAAGAGGCCTTTTGAGCATCACCTGTGCTAAAGGATATCTTTCTACAGTTTATGCTGTTTAACCGGTTGTGTGTTATAATCTGAGCAAAGTCTGTTAATGTTTTCCCCTAAAACTGCAGAGAAAAACCACTAAGCCATATGCAGTAATTTGGTTGAGGGGGAATTCTGAGGAAACTTCCTTTAACATTGTGCGTATCAAACACAGTATCTCTGGGACCCTCTCTAGCCAAGCTCTTATCTCTACTGACTCAGCTGCCTCAGTGCAAACACTGAAAACAATTGTGCAGACACAGATGAGAAAAGGTGTGTGCGTGTGTGGGCACACACAGTCGCACAAACATAACATGTACCAACACTGTAGTGGCACATCCAGCAAACACATCCACTGCCAAAACATATCCAACTGGGCCTGGACTTCAATATATCACACTAACACAAACCACTATAGAGGCACAGCCTAGGTGATTGGTTCATTGATGAAGGTATCAAATGAAAAAAATTATTCAACAAATATATTGATAATAATTAGGCTAAATCTTGGAGATGTTGAAAATAAAAAAGTGCATTTATCACTGTTTTCTGACATTTTATAGACTGATAAATTACACATTAATGGAATAATATGTTATAGGCTATATTGACCGTATAATGGAAACAATCATTCATAATAGGGTTGGAAGTAAAATGCAACCAGTTTAATAATAATTTGAGTCATTTATTAGCCAGTAAACCTACAAAACAAAAAATAGTTATGTTTTAACTGTAAAACAAAATTAGAAAAATTAAGGGCTCAGGTGTATTCATGGCCCCAGTGCGATAAAACTGAACAACTGCAACAATTTCTTTTTTTGTTGCCATTAAGTTTAATAAGGAACTGAAATCAGTTTGGGTTAAATGAGTATAACCTTTCTTCGGTGTTCTCCATAGACCAACTACGAGGATTTTTTTTTTAATAAAATCACAAAAACTACAATTCCCACACTGCTCGCGTCACTAGCAGCATCAACATCAGCATATCCCTCCGCCTCCCTCTTGTAACAGGGCTGCGGACGTAACGACGGGCCTTCCGCAACATACACACCCCCTTATTAATAACAAGGCTTTTAATTTTCTTGGCTCCTCGTGACTGCCAAATGTCCCTTTACCAGACAGGCGGCAGGAAATGCATTTTAAACAGCTTCAATAAGCTCCCCCTGTCATCACAACTGGCCGTCACCACCTCCGTGTTCCAAGCACTTTTCGTGTCCTCCGCCATTACAACAATGCGGCAGGCAGCATGGTAGAGGTGCGGGATGAAAAGACGCAGTGGATGCGACTCGATAGCGCCAACAAGACCCACACAAAACAATTAAAACTATAGCTACAGCCGATGGGGGCGATTTTAATAACAACTGCACATTTGCTTGTAAAGAGTGGACGAAAGCAGAGCGCTATAAACAGGAAACAAACGCCAGACCCTCTCATCACTCTTAGCACAAGCCACAAGCATGGCCGCACTACCCACAATAACTTCGGGTCGCTCTGAGCGAAATCGGCAACCCCAACGATATGTGCGGCAAAAACCGACCCCTTCCCTCTGTAGGGCACCCGCTCCTATGACCTGCACATTTCTTAAGCAAATCACAGCATTTATAGGTGACACTTGGGAATAATTTGAGGATAAATAGAGCTGCGATGCGCTCTACAGCGGAGTAGCAGCGTGGTGTGCACGGAACCACGTGGTTTATGTTTGTTAGCCACAAAATACATCGATTTTTCAGGCAAATGTGCAAAATAACAACACGGGAAGGATGCTGTGGTTTCAATCAGAGATTCAACTTGGCCAATCCTAATATAATTTCAGTGTTTGATGAAACAAATACCCGCCGCTGCTAGTGAGTGGGTCGTGTACAGAATAATACATCAGATCAAGCATGTTGCCTCAGCGCCGTCGCTAAGTGCGTGTTCTTCAAACAGATGCCTTATAATAACACACTGCATGCTGGGTGAAGCGTGTGTATACACACCTACAAAGACCTCCAATCACTTCTTTCTCCGTTTTCCTGAAATGTTGCAAAGAGGGCACCTTCTGAGCTGGCACCATGAAATACTCCATGCTTGCCTCTCGCCAGTTTGGTACCCCCCTCTAAAAACAGCAATCAGTCTCCGTAGGATAAAAGAAAAATTATGAGCAAATATTATTGTGAGCAAAAATCCCGTGATCCGACGCGGGTTAAATCCGCAAAAGAAGATATGAATCCCTCGTCTGTGTAATGTGGTAGTTTCGGGCTGCTGAGAGTTGTAATGTTACGCGACTTCCAGCTGATGGGGTTCCCTCGTCGTGTGTGGCGCTCTACCTCTCTCTCTCGCTCCCCTTTGCTTTCTCCCTCTGCATGACCGTGTGTGTGTATGCAGCTGATCGGGTGGCTTTCAAGGCGGGAAACAGCTGGTAGGAGTCACACACTGCACTACCAAAAGCCTCCTTCCGCAGAGACGGGGGACTGCATGTAAACAAAGGACTATTTAGTGCACAAATGCGCCGATGAAAAGACGCACACGGGAAGATAAATAGGATTAAGTGGCTTTATTGGGAATCACAGCAAACACCGACAGCTAATATATAATTAAAACTGCGGCATATGTGGAGTCAAAGCTATCTAAGAACCCTTCAGTAATGATCACGGCTATCAAAAGCATTTCCCCGTCATGTGGCATGCCTCCTTCATTTTTATAAAGAACACCACTAATTTGAATTCCTGAACTTTTAAAGCGAAAAGCACATTCACACCAGGTAGCCTAGCCTAAATACGCACCCGGGGTCATTTGACACCTTTGAAAGCCATAACCCAAAATGTGCCTTAACACATCCAAAACCGATAGGAGTATAGTAAATAAAGCGCGGCACCACTACAGGGGCGGACACTCCAACAGCTGCGATAAGTGCACGAGAAGGATCAGCTGACGCGCCCTGAGCTGCACAGCAACAGCGCACCGGCGAGAGCCATCCGGGACGCACCGCTGGCTGACACAGCACGGCGAAACGTGTGTGTGTGGTTCACCATCTTGGACGTAACCCTGGACGTACAGAAGGGTAAATTAGAGTAACCTCATTTATTTGGGTAAACGGAGGCTGAGGCGCGGATGCAGCGGTCCTGCACCCGGAAATGTGAAAAGCCGCAGCTTCATCTTTGCTGTGTTAATTAGTCCACCTCAATGACGCAGCTATAGGTTGTTGCCTTGATTTTTTTCTCCATTAAAAACCCAGACAGCTGGTGTGGGCTACACATTTACATCTGGATATAAACAGTGATGGATAATGTAGCCTACAAGTAGGTCTACACTCAGATGGCAGTTTATTATAGGTAAAACTAATGCAATAAATCCTCCTTCATGAAGGTGTCAATGTTTCTGTATGGCCTAATGCATAAAAGCTCAACAGCAGCACCTTAATTTGCGGCAACAAGTTGTCAATTTGTAACATCTTTAACGTTGAATCTCGGACAGGGGTGTACATATGACTTACACGGCAGTGATTTTTAAATGAAACTAGAAGATACGTACATTTAAAGCTTTCTATATTAATGTCAGAAACATAAAACTTACAAATGTAGTTCTTAATGCCAGGCTACACAAACATCGACCTATAAAACAGACTTAAATAGGAAAATTATACATGAGCTTTAACATAAAATATAAACATTTCTATGCTGTTGTCTATTTCACTCTATGACTGGTGACTCACATTAGTAGGCTACTTAAATTGCCTGTTATATTGGCCACATGTGTAGTTTGCTAAGTGTTTTAATGGGCAACAGAAATGTTTAACCCTTTTTAAACATAATGAACATGAAACCATGTTTTAAGTGTTTTGGTGTTATGGTGTGATTCGTCTTTATCTTATAAATAGTGAATGATTAGACGCTCGTGGTTTTTCCGCTAAATGGAAATATAAGACTGCAAATCCTTTTGTGCTAATGAACAGACTCTCTGAGGGCTCCTGAGGTAATTACAACTTCTCCCAGGCTGCCTCACGCCCTCTAGTGGTGATATGGTGGAAAGGTGAAGGGGACACTGCTAACTATACTACTGTTATGGTGCATTGCATCGTTAGATGCACACAGGGCAGTGGACAGAAGAGAAACTTCTCACAACAAATACAACAGCTAATGAGACACCAGCTTACTCAAATGGTCACTGTATCTTGTGGGGTTGCTTTAAAAAAGTTATATATGTGGTGGTCATAGTTGTTTTGATTGGCTGGCACCTACAGCTAATTTAGATTTCATGTCTCACCACACACCAGCTCTTTTGACATTAGTCATGACACATTTCAGATTTGTGAGTTCAACCAAACTGGTATTGTGCACTGAAGTGGAATGTATATTTTACTTTTAGTTATTATAAAACCATATTACATGCAACATCTTTCTTGAATTATTCAACAAGCAGACCTATAATTATCTTATAATCTTATAATGTTGTGATGATGGAAAATAAAGGTATTTAGAAGGATCTTCAGAAATCAAAGTAAATAGTTCCATCATTTGAAAGAGAGGGGAAAACTGACATATACCAAAAAAGCCCAAAGCTCCCCTTTTTCTAGTATATGAACACGGTTACAAGTGTTGCTTTGATTGTATTGATTTATAAGTGTTAAAATATTGGTATAATAGTACAATCTTTGACTTTCTTAACGTTTCAATTATCTAACACTTAATTGTTTTTATGACAGCTGGTTGAGGTTAGTGGTGGAAGATGTACTTTACTTAAGCAAAACTAGCAATGCCGAAGTGTAGAAGTAGAGCCGACTCTGCTACAAGTAAAACTCCTGCATTCACAATGTACTTAAGTAAAAGTTCAAGTATTAGCATTCAAATATACTTTATGTAAAAGTAAAAGTACTTAAGAGGCACAATGGAACATTAATGTGTGTTATTGTGTACACCACTTTAATGTTGCAGCTGGTGAAGGTGGAGCAAATTTTTACTACTTTATATGATGTTTTGATAGTCATATGTTTTTCTACTGCTGGGCAGCTTGTGAATTTCCCACTGGGATCAAAACAATCTTGTCTTATGAATATAACGTATTTTGTTTTAGGCCTACTAATCATAATCTGCAAAGTAAACAACTAAAGTTATCAAAAGGATGTGGTGGAGTGCTGCCTATTAAATGTAGCCTAGTGAAGTCAAAGTATGAAGTAGCATAAGGTGGAAATGAGTAAAGTAGGCTATAAATACTTCAGATTGTACTTGGGTATAGTTCTTCACTAAATGAACCTAATTTTCCACCACTGGTTGAGACAGAGGTGCTGTTCAGCATGCGAGCTGAGATG